GGATGAGAACACACAGCTCTCATTCCACTCCCTGGCTAAAACCAGCTGCTATACCCTACTAAAACCAGTAGGCCCTTAGAGGCTCCAGAAACAAGAGACTTGACATCAGGTATTTCACTCAGTGCTAACATCAGAGGTAGTTGGATTTTTGAAGGAAAAGAAAAGTGAGACAATAAACCCACACAACAGAGTTTTGCTTTAAATTTCTGCTAGCATAATCACTGGTGTGCAGTTCAGGCCATACCTGGTAAGAATAAATCCATACTACTTTCCTTGGATGTTCTGTGAATAAATGAGTGCAGAAAGTACCCTGACCTTGCATCATCAATTTTTGTTTTATGGAAAGTGAGCTACTGTCCTTAGGCAATGGCAAAAGTATGCAAGGTTGTAGAGCATCTCAAGATAAAAAGCCTGAATAACAATGGACAAAATATATTAAACAACCTGACCTGACTTGATTAACTTGAACTAAGATAGCCTCAACCCACTGGTTTTTCTAGGAGTTTAAGATGTTCAAATCTGTGACTTCAGTTTAGGTTCAGAACAGGAAAGTGCTCAAATTAGCAGTCATTTCTTCCCACAACAAAAACTGTTGGCATAAGAACCATGTCATAGTTCTAAGCATCTCACTGGGTCAGACAATGACATACATACACTAATCACATGCAATACACAAAGATGTAGCAAAATGCAAACACTTTGCCAGTTGCAGTCAAACTCTGGAATTTACTGTAGTAAAGTGCAGGTGCAACACACTGCATATAATAAAATGCCAAGCCCAGCAATTTTTCTGTGTCCGAGACATAGTTCCACAAAAAAGTCACCTCAGTGCTCAGTAGTTGTCACAGAGCCAAGTGAGTGGAGATAAGGAGATACCAAGAAAGAATAAATCTGTGGTTCCAAACACCTTGAGAGTTCTGCATTTGTGGTTCCCACACATCATTTCGGAAGGATGTTGAAATGCAAAAGACTCAGAGAGCCCCACAAGGACAATTTATAGGCATGGAACGATGTCAGTATGTGTAACTAAATTTAAATAGATGAGGATTCACTGCACATCTGAACTGAAGGGGCAGTACAGGACCTGTAGTATAGTGACAAGAGCACATGATGGTCACTACCTGTTCTAACACAAGAATGAAAAGGCACCAAATACTGCTAGTAAGGACTAGGTTCAAGTCAAACAAAACCAGGTGACTATGCACACAGGCAAGGCTGTGCTGTGAAACTACTGAATAAAGGATGGGGCAGATGCCAGCAGATTACTGTTTCAGAAAACAACTGGACAAATTCATGGAAGAGAACTCCACTGAGAGCTGCCAAATGCAAAAAAAAAAAAAAAAATCTAGGAAAAAAACCAAAACAAAGCAAAGAAAACCCACACCCACTACTTAGAGGTCTCCAAATCATAAAATGGCTTAGGCAACTATTCTGGGTGAACAGCACTATCTAAGAATTTTTTAATCCTTCCCCAACAAAAGGCCATTACCAATGCAAGACAGCAACCCAGAAAGACCTCAAACTGTACTGCACCCATTCTTATATAGACATCTTTCTTTTTAGCTGATAAATATGAGCATCATTTTCAATGCAATTGCTCATACATTAATTTCATTATGCTTCACTCACTCCCTCTCTCCCTTGCCTTCCCTCCCCTCTCTCTCTTTTCAGATTAAAGAAAATCCAGATGGGGTGCAGGTGCTGCAAAATGATACAAAGGTACAATAGAACAAGAGTTGCTTAGCCTGAATAAAAGAAAAGCATTAAAACATATGTCTGTGTTCCCCTACACCTGTTGCTTAAATTAGCCTATTTGAATGGTTGGAGTTTTTTCAAATTTAAGCTTAGGCATATTGATTCTCTGTGCATGTCCTTTCGATTTACTGTAATTAAGGTCCATTTCTCTAATTTCTACCACACAGAACAAATTGTGTGGCATTGAAAACTCTTCTTTAGGAAAGCTTTTTCTCATTTAGGTAGCACAAGTTTCCCTCAATTCAGTAGAACAATGAACACAGACTTTGTCAGATCTTCCCTCTCTCCTAAGCAATGAAAATGAACTACAGTTCCTTGATTCCATCACAGCTTTTAAATGTAATTAGTTGTGGGAACAATTCCTATATTAAAAGCCTCCCTAGAGAGGAAGACTAGCTAGTTTTAGAAAGACCACATTTCAGTCCCACTTGAGGATTACACTTTCTCTTGGCCACATCTGTAGAACAGGTAAGGAAGTGGGAAAGAAAAATGGTGCTATGAGACAAAGAGGGGGGATAAAGAAAAGAGAGAGGCTCTGGAAGAGGTAAGTCAAGGAAAATACAGAATGAGAGGAAAAAGATAAATCAGGAGGGGAGAAAAAAAAAAAAGGACAAGAGACTTGAGGGAAGAACACCAGGAAAAAAGTGAGGTGTTTTAGCAATGAGGACATATTAACAATCCATATGATGACTACTCATTGGCTAACCAGCTCCCCAGAGAAAACAGAAAGTAAAGCTGGAAACAACCAACAACCAGCACACAGTTTTCTAATATCCTCCTTATGCTCCTGGTGAGTCTCAGTACAGGGGTTAGTTAGGATCAGTCCTGGGAGACAGCAGCCCACAGCACAGTTCAGCATTTCCATTCACTGTAACTCACTCTCCAGACCCAAGGTAAAGTTCTGTGACACTAGTTTCTCAAGACCACCAGCTTGAAAATTAAACTTCATCTTTTCTACTGATTATATTGCCTAACATCATAGTTAACATTTCCTTTACAAATTTTCCTTACTCCAGCTATATTTTTGATCCAGAAGAAGTACAATCACCTGGATGTATCCATGAAGTAAACAGCTACAAACACAATGTACAAGACAGCAATAAATTCCAAGAGAACAGTGAAAATGAAGAACAGAAAAATGAACTCCAGAAAGATGAGCTAAACAGAACAGAAAATAAAGATCCAGTAAACAATACAAAAGAAACTCTCTGGAACCACAGAGGAGACAATTTTCAAGAGGTTGTCCTTGTGAAGTGTGCTGCAAAGCTTGATGTTGCAGTCAATGGTGGCAACTCCTGTGCTGAAGGGCACTCCATGCTCAATCCCAACACAAACCCAGTGAAAGACACCAGTGAAAAGGGAACCTCCAGCCACTTAGAGGCTTCTTCAGCCAGCAGTAAAGACTTTCACACCAAATCAAACAGGTCTGGCCAAGAACTCAACCTAGAGACAGGCAGCCAGAGGAAGGCAGCCTGCAATGTGCCTAACAGTATTCCAGACTCCCAGTCTGCAGAAGACAGCACCTTTCTCAAAGAAAGCACAATACTGGAGACACAAAACAATGCCATACGACTACCAGGTACTGATTATCCCCCAAACAGCAATCAAACTGGGAACTATGTTGAAAAAGACAACTTTTCAGTCAACTGTGCACATACAGACCAAAATACTGGTTCTTCAGCAATACAGGACCAGGACCTTTGTGTCAGCTCACCTTCACCTGTGAAGGAGAGCAGTACTGAATCTTTTAAAACTGACTCTGCAGGTTTGAGTGAGGGCATTACTGGTGGTATCACTGCCGTGGCTGTTACCAAAGTCACACAGGCACCCACACCCCCCAACCAGAAAGACATCAATGGAAAAATTGAGGAGGAAGATGCAGAAATTGCAGCAGCTCTGGCTGCACTGGAAGCTGCAACTGCAGGGGAAGACCTGGAAGATGACAATGAGTACTAGATGAAGGTTTCTTTCTAACACACTGGGTAAGATCCAGATTTTATTTCTGGATCTATATGAACACATGTACAGCACACATGGAGAGCTGTTATGAACAGCATATATAAAAGGAGTTGGGACTAAGCTTCTGTCCCATCAGCTGTTTTATACAGTCTTTTAATTTCTACTGCCTGAGGTACAGAAGTGCTCCCTATGGTAATACTCTTTTCTGTGAGGTCAGCCAGGAGGGCATAGCATCATTTCTCCCACACAGAATGTTCCACTGTACATGCACCTCACCTGGACTCATGCAAATGTTTCCCTCAGTTTTGACCCTCATGAGGGTGTGTGCACACTGCATATTCCAGGTTCAGAAAACTTCCATTATTTAAAACAGAACTATAGAAGCCATGGAGTTAGAAACCACAGATTTTCATCATAAGCACAAAAATATACATATATATAAATGAGCCAAAGTTCTATGACCTACAGAAGCATGAACTAGGGAAGGCAGCTTGGCTTGAACTTCAGCATGGTTATGGTTCCATTATGGATTAAGCCTAAATCTATTCATGTGCAGCTGGCATTAGGATGATAACCTCATCTCTCCCCTTACACCTCCCCTTGACTTTGATACCCCAAGTGTCCTTACTTCAGTTCCTTATAACAGCAGAATCCTAGCCAAATCCAAGAGACTGGGTAACTTTGTTGGTTTAATGAGCTGCTAAGAATTGCACACAATCAGAGGTGCTGGAGAGAGACCAAAACTTAGTCCCTATCACTGTTGCAAAACTACAGCCTGAAATCTCTAAACTCTAAATTTTCCAGGCACACATCATTTGCCTTAACAACAGAGATTTCAAACAGGTTGTGTTTCATAAACATCCCCAGAAAGATGTGTTTTGTTTATATGCAAAAAGCTAGAGCCAGTGTGGACCTCTCCCTGGCTCTGCTGTAGTCCTTAAACTTATAGCAGGAAAAGGATCAAGATTCCAAGTTGAATTAAGCATAAGACCTGAAAATACCAGCTGCATTCCTGGAGGAGCTGCATTTCTTGTGGGGGGAAAAAAAAAAGGGGTAGACCTCATCTTGATGCTGCCAATTCAGTAAAACTATAGTGGAAAGTGCTTGACATTTTATACTGAAATTTTGTGGTTTCCAACATTCTGTTATAAACTCCTAATAAATTTTTTAATCATATAAAAATAATCTGGTGGCTTTCGTGCTTTATGCATTTTCTGAATATATGTTACATTAAATATGTACTGTAAATCATAGCCCTCATCAGATACATGAAAAGCACTGACTGTGTTTGCCAAAAGCATATGCTGAATCCTAGTCTAAGCATTAACTACATAGGGAACACAATATTAGGAGGTGGGTTTTCAGTAATGTGTGAATATTGAAATTATTTGTGTTTAAATGTAGATTCTGTTTTAAACTCCAAGACCAAATTAAGATTTCAATTTCTCAAAACATTAACGATACTCCTCAGAGCAATTAAAACAACCTAAAGTCTCAACTTCAAGAGAACTATATTCATCTACAGAGGAAAGTCACAACAGTGCATCTGTAAAATAAAAAAGCCTTTATATGTTTTTAAAGTATTGTAGTACTATTGATTTCTCTACCACTTTGTACCTGGACTGCATCTCTTGTGGCTCAAGTCCTCATTTTCTTAAATTTAAGAGGCAAAACCCAATGTAAAGCAAGTATATTCCCTGCACCAGAAATAGCAGGTCAATGCTCCTCTTAACAAAAAAACCCCAAAAGCAAAAAAACTGGTATATGCACACCTCAAACCTGCATGATATAGAAAGCTTCCATAAAATAAACCTATGAGGTTACACCAACATTCAGACTTCTCTTACCTGCCATCTAAAAATGCTCAGTGCAGTTTGCAGATTAAAGGGGAAAAAAGTTTTTACATTTATGTAGGTGTTTACATCCCTTCAGCTCTAACATATCACAGTCAAGTGTCAGGAATACTTAGCCATTTTTTCAACCTTAGTGCAATTTTCACAATAAACATGAAATAATTAATTATTTTAAATGAAAGTCTAAATGCCAGACAATTTCCTCCACAAAAATCTGATTTTAAATACTTACGTGAAAACCAAATCTTACTCAGTTCCATCAGATGTCGAAGCAAAGAAACACAAACACTGGCAGCTTGAAGAAAGCATTTTGCTCAGGCAGTGGGGAGAGTAAAACAAAGTCACAGGAAAAAAAAAGGAACTAGAAGCAAGAGTAAACTCTATTTTAAGACATCTCTCAAAAACTACACAGCTCTTTAAGACAGCCAAACACTAACTTCAGATACCAATCATTTTCTTTATTCAGTGCACACTTAGGAAGGAGCACTTAAATGTTTCAGTTTTCCTTTGATATACAAGGAATTAATGAGGGGCTGGTTGGCCAATATCTATTTTTAATGCTTCTCTATTTGATGCAATTCTATAAAGGTGAGTGTGAAAGCATATGCAGCAATAAAGAACAGGCAAAAGGAGGGGAAACTCTTCTAGATGGGAAACTCTTCTAAGAGCTGGCATTTCTATGAAAGATTTTGCATCTTGGAGGGTTATTCTTTAGTGTTATTCTCCAAAACTAGTAACACAACTCAAAGGGAATTTTTAATCTTCCATACATAAGCAAAGAGACACTGCAGAAGACCAAGCTTTGCACCTTCTCATTTAGCAGTAGGCCAACCCTGGATTATTAATAAAATTACAGATCAGTGCAGAGATTCCAGATATGACAACAGGAGTGGAAGACAACCCAGTGTGCCCAACTCAAGGAAGTTAATTATTTCCTGGAAAAAATGTTGTGGGGGAAGTTTGTATACAAAGCAAGAGAAGAACCCGAAATGTGACACTGCAGAATACTTCAGTTCAGCAAACAAAATTCTAACAAGGAGGAACCTGGAAATAGATAAATTCCACAAAGATTTTTTCCCTTCCCTTTTAAAAGAGCAAAGGCAATCAGGCTGGACAAGTGTTGCTATGGAGATTTCCCATTAAAAATTAAACCCCAGAAATACAAAGTCTATTATTTTCTAAAAGATATTTCAGGTTGGATTGCTTAAGCAAAATACCATTTTTATCATCATTTAAAGGGTGAAACAAGAAACACTGATCTAGAAAAAAAAAAACAACAAACTTGACCTTACACTGCATTTGTACTTTCAATTTCCTAGATGTGATCTAGTTTTCCAAAAGATTAATTCTTGCCAGTGTATCTCATTTTGCTAACTGTGCATCTTGGACTCTATAAAAGATTGAAATAGATTATGGCAATTTTATGCCTTAACGTAAGCAGTGACACCTTTTAAAGTGCTTTATTGTTAAATACCATGTTAACCATGACCCATCCAATTTCACAACAGAACTTAATTACACACAGTCTCTCCCCCACTCCCTTCCTCTTCCTCCTTTAGTCAGAAAACAGAAGTATTCTCTTGCACAACTGAACTTAGAGAACAGGATCCTCTCAATGAAGCAGGAAAGACATTACCTGTCTTGATTTTGTTCTGAATCCAATTGTTGAAGTACAGACCCCAAGCAGTCATCTCACAGTAATTGTGAGCAAAACTATGGAGGTTACATCACTTCCTGCTTTGAATCTTGACCAAAATTTTTATAGATTAAAAAGGATTTAACAGGTTTTTGCTGTAATTCATAATTCATTTACTACTGTACATTAACAACTGAAAAACATTTTGATTTTTAGCAAAACAAAAAAATCCCACAAGTCTTCCAGGAAATACAGCATCCCAATATTATGTCAGGTTGCAGGCAATTTAAGTACTCGACCAACCCCACAATAAAACCATGTCACACAAAGATGGCAGTTTAATTCATTTGCTCATTGAGCTCCCTTCTATTTACTCTGAGCTAGAGATTAGCTTGATTATTATGCAGGTGTAGAAGCAGAAAGGAGGAAGGCAACACCCTCATCTATTTACCTGAACCTCAAGCATGGCCAGATTTACAATCATCTGTGATCACACATCCTATCCCCTGCCTGCTAATAACACTTGGAGCTTACCAAGGAATTTATCTAGGCTTATGCAAAATCAAAGGGAGCTAAATGGCAATGGCAAGAACAGAGCAAAATGAATGTATGAATGAGATCTAAATGCTGTTTAAGTATTTGAGGACAAACCATAGGGATCTGGCCAAGAATTAATAGCCTAGGTTGTTTCCATCTCACATCTAAAGGTTTGTATCCCAATAAAGCTTTACTTTAGTTCTTACTTGAGATTCTCTTGCAGAAACAAGATGTTAAATAACTTAGGGATGTTCCTCAGATTCATGCAAATTTATTTCCAATACAAGATGCACGACATGAAGAGATTTTGGGTGGCCAGAAGTGGTACAAGTTTTTTCAGAATCCATCTCCAGAGCAGATGAAATATTACAGATTTCTAATGCCACAAATTTCAGTTTGGTAAGTAGAAGTGACACAGAGGTTAATCCAACAAGTACACAGCAGCCTTTGCCAGAACAGTGCTGCTGTCTTGTTTTGGTTACTGTTACCTTTTAATCATTAAACTGCTCCTTATGCAGACTTGCATACAAAACTCTTCCAGTTAGTATCTGCAAAAAAAACCCAGCTGCACTAAAGATCCAGCATTAATCAAGATCAAGAGAAATTATCAAAAGCCTTACAAAAGAATACACATACTCCACCCTGAGTGGGAATTACTTTTCCAGAGCCATGCATGAGTGTTAATTACCAGGCTGTGCACGCTGCTATTGTTTTGACATACGACACACAGATCCTGTTCTTCCTCATTGCTTTGATTAAAAATTTGGCTCAGGGAGAAGTTTACATTGTTCCTTTTAATAACTCAGCAGCTACTTCCAGGCCAGTGCAGAACAAACTGCTGGATCCTGACTGTCCACAGCTCTGCCTCAGAACCATTAGACACCTGAGATCTCCCATTAAATTTGGGCTTTTACAAATTTTTTGGTTTCTTTTTTTTTTTTTTACTGACCCACTCTGACTTTTAGAATGAT